TCATAGGTGCTGCTTGAAGATGATGGAAGTTGGATGGATAATTCCCTCTAGAAAAACATGATAATGCATAAATCATTTACACGGCTAGCTGATTTATATTCTTAATTCGCTTTCTGGTCACAGTCCGAAAAAAATAAAATAACATAAAGAAAGAAATGGTCAACCCTGAAAGTGGTTTAATTTAACGGACTATCATTTCAATTTGAAACTTAAATATCTTTTAAGATATGTTTAACGAGTTCGTTGGGAATCAACATATTCGTACATTATCTAGGTAACAGATTATGAGAATATTCAAACTGATCAGGTAGAAGTTGTTATGTTGATCTATTAGCAAATTATCATGACTTATTTACAAAAAATTGTATAGCAACCGGAGGGAGAATTAACAACCAAATTAAGAGAGTGAAAGGGTTTTACTGCAGAGCATGCTCCGCTAAAACAACGGTCCTAAACAAAATCTGGTTCGACACTTACATTTTTCGCGTCTTCCATATCGAATTTCCTTACGATAACAAGAACAGCCACATAACACAGTAAAACCACCGCAATAGCCACGATTACAGCAATATTTCCAGTTTCTGATAATCGCTGGAACTCGACTAGAACCTTGTCCAAGTCAATATGATTCGATTCAACTAAGAGGCTTCCCCCAAATGATGTCAAGTGGCTACAGCTACAGTTTAAAAATCCATCTGATTCTGCTAAAACCTAAAATTATAAAATACAAGGAAGATTAACATTTTTGCTGTCACCATTAATCACACTGTATCTTTTCTGCTTTAAGGTGCTGCCAAGCCCCGGCAGGTTAACAAATTGATTCGACTTTTGACTGAAAATGTTCTCTGATCAAAGATTAGCCTGAATTCAATAATAAGCTGAATGAGTAAAGATTATTACAGTACAACAACACTTTTGCAAACAATACTCAGGAAAGCTCAAATTATGTGAATTTTGTTGAATGCAATGCCAAATTATAGAAAAAAGATTGTGCTGAAAATCGTTATTTAATTTTTCGCTTACTCGACAGCCAGATGATATCCACTTGTCAAATGTTTCTGACCAGTAAACGCAACTACCTAAGGCCACCTTCAGAGTGTAGTTCTGGTCTGTTGTGGAATCATAAACTGGTATTACACGGACATTTTCACTCTGGGGTGAGGTGGGTGGTGGATCTTTGACTTCGATGCAGGAGCGCTTCCTTCGCCCTCCACCAAAACAAGACCTTTTCTCCCT